AGCAATCTTTCCCCCTAGCGCAACGATTGGAGTATTGCATGACAAAATGATATCTCCAACGTATTTCTTCTCAAAAATTGAACTGTTTACTATTGTGAGGTAAGTCACATACTCACAACAGTAAACAGTTCAATTTTTGAGAAGAAATACGTTGGAGATATCATTTTGTCATGCAATACTCCAATCGTTGCGCTAGGGGGAAAGATTGCTAATGAAGACTCAAACCATGAGTGGAAACGTTCAAAGTTAAGGTTTATATTTTTAATATTAAGAAAAATTGCGATAATTGATAACCAGCGCCGACTCCTATTGCCTGTAATATATTTTTTATGGTTTCATTAATTGTTTTAATTAAAGGAGTCTATAAAAACTTATTAGTTTTTATTAATTTATAATTTATCATTATACATACACTAACAGAATATTTATAGAATTAAATAATATTTAGCATTAAATGGAAGTTGCATATAAATTTCAGATGTATTGTTGCTACGCACTTGATAATATTAATTTATTTAATGCTAAATGAATGACTGATGTAAAAAATGAATCGGTATAACTTCAATTTTTGAATAAATAAGATTAAGAAAAGTTAACATAATGCATTCTACAAACTTAAATTATGCTGATATTTGATAATACTTGATCTTATATGGTTTTCGATCATATTACGAGAATGGTAATCAGCACATTCATTTTTCGCATCGTATTTTTCGTATATTTCATATTTAAATAAAAATATTACATATTAGTAAGTATCAAGCATATGATCGTTCGTTATTATCTTATCGTGATTATCTTAAAATGTAAATTGTAATTTGCACAATAATTAACTGTAGCTCTCAATAAACTACAGTTTATTGCATTATTGATTTCAATCCAATTTAAATAAATTAAATAATGTTACTTTCGTTTAACAATGTAATTCTTTTTATAAAAGTAACTAAACAGTAATGTGATGTTTATAAAAACAATGTTTTTATTCGTCTTTTTTGCTTATTAAAATATAGAGAAATTGTGCAGTTATTGAACACAGTAATACACATATATTTATAGGAACAAAAATTATGCATATTTTACAAGTTAACAAATTTATTAACTATCTCCAATGAGTAGAATATATTATTCAATTTTAATCCAGTGCTCAATTAAAAGATGCATTTTTAATAACTCAAATAATAATTAATTTGCTTATAACAGAAAACGCAAAAAACAATTTACAAATTTATTTAAATCGATAAATTTAGTTTTCATATTTTTATTGTTTCAAATTTTATGTAAATTTCATTTATTCAACTTTTATTGTTTAATTCTGAAAGAAAATATATAAGAATATAACTTTAAGTATATACATAGGTGTGCCATAATTCATCCGACAATGCTCGTGGGCAGGTAGAGTGGACTAAACTGAGTCGAAAAGTCCTCTACCATTTTGCAATTTTCGCAATAGTTAACAAGATATTAATTACTAAAAATTGCCGTGTATTGATCTTCAATAATTTTTTCTGAAATATTATTAATTTTACAGAAAAATAGCAAAAGACAAAAATTTTTCATTTTCTTCTCATAGAACTCTAAAAATTTGTTCAGAATTTTTTATCAATTTTTTAATACTGCATTTTCTTATTTTTACGAACATGAGAAAATACGGTATTAAAAAATTCTGAAAAAATTCTTAAAACTTTATGAGAAGAAAATAAACAATTTTTGTTTCTTGCTGTTTGTAAAGTTGATAGTATTTGAGTAAAAAATTATTGAAAACCAATATTCAGCGATTTTTCGTAAATAATATCTTGTTAACTATTGCAAGAATTGCAAAAATGGTAGAGGACTTTTTAACTGAATTTAGCCCACTCTACCTGCCGACGAGCAGACTGTCGGATGAATTACGGGACACCCTGTATATTAAAAAAAAAATAAATAAAAAATAAAGTTTCTCTTAAATAAAAATTGAATATAGGTATATATATCCGATTTTTATTTAAGACGAACTTTATTTTTTAATTTTTTTTAAGGAAAAATGTCATTGTAATTTGAAATTAAAATAATCTTTCATAATTTATTATTGAACGATGAAGATGCCGAGTATATTGTTAAGACAATGTTAGACAGTTTTTACAATCAACATATGTGACAGTAATAAGCTGTCAATTGATAGTTTATAAATCACATGACATTGGGTTTCAAATCCAAAAAAAAAGTGTCAAACAATATCATGCGACTTGTTATAATGTCAAATTAATGCGATTTTATACATGCGATTCTGATTTTCATTTATTTGTACTCTGTGTTTACTCTAATATTATTATTTAATTGTCCCAAGTATTTTAACGTGTATTTTCCATCAGAAACAATTATTACACGCTCGATAAATTTCGCGTCATTTACGATTGGAAAGTGCACATACAAATAAAATACCAACACACACAAACATAAAATGCTGGGAGTGCTGAATCGAAATAAGCGTTAATTAATGGGCAATGAAGTACCTATTTCCTCATAGTATAGTTATATAGAAAACATCTTTAAACAAACATTAATGAAACCAAAGCAAGGCAATGAAGACTATGATGACTAGCTAAATGCATTTATTTTATTGTATATACACTTAAATAATATAAATAATATAAATTTGACATTTGATATTGTTGTGTGCATATTTCATTATTTTCTGTTTTATTGACATTATGAAACAATAGATTTGGCACATTAAATTAATCTGTACAAATATATATGTAGAAAATTAACAAGAAATTATATAAATGGTAAATTTATGCCTATTTATTTATATTTTATAAATTTAATATGGTATTATATTTTATTGTAGTACATTGATTTAATAATTATTTGTACATATATTTTTAATGCATTAATGACTTTTATAATATATATAAATAACAAAATTCTTAACTTAAATTATTAAGACCGGTATTTATGCTTTGTTCTTATATTTAAAGTTTTAAGTACAATCTTAAGATGATGAAATCAATCGTAGAACTATAGCATCTGAAGACATCACTTAAGACGATTTTGAAATAAGAACGAACCATGAATGCCGACTCAAGATTATTTTAATAAAGAAATTCTGATTTTGTATTTACTTGAATAAATGTAGTATATAATGTGCAAAAATGATAAAATTAATATTATAATATGAGATACTAAAATAATTCTCTATTTTAAAGAAATTAATGTTCTAAAATTAATGTTTGTTTAGGTAATATGTGCACCCAGATGACACTGGTAGTGATATTGAATGAAGACACTATCAATTGGTGAGTCAATTCATTGCATACATGCATAACTGGTTTTACTGCCAGTTATGAAGATTTAATTGTTATCATCTTATAACAGTTTTCCCGTAATCATTATTCGAAATTGACTTAGATTTTAGCATGATTCTTTTTTTCTATATTTATTCGTAAAAAAGCAGAAGATTAGTTAAATCTCAATCAGTTTTAATCATCAATATTTACAAAATAACTGCATGATATATTTGTTATAAATTTTTACAATTTTCTTTGTTTATGTATAATGATAATGCTATAATTAACATCAAATTTTCTTTATATAGTACATATACAATGTAAGATATTTAAAAAACAATTAATATTAACTGCTGGTTTTTTAACTATAACATAAAAATTTTGAAGAGTATTAATATATCTGAATTACTCTTATATAAAATTTTTTACTGCCTGTCGGTCTTCCCACCTACTGTTATATAAAATTACTCATCACACATGCAAGATATTAATCACGATCGTAATTAAAAGAATGATAAATAATAAAATGACTGTATTCTGATTAAATATAATATTAAATGAAAACACAATCGCTCTATTTTGTACGCGTAATCATCTGTTTACAACGTTTATTGTTGAAAGACGGATAAGTAAATTAACCTATAAAAAGAGATACAAAGGGCTGTTCGAAAATTTTACCTGTTCTCTCACTCGGATCCGTCCGGTGTACCACGTTAGCAACATCATCTTTATCACGAGCACGCACGACCACCAAGCATATATAGACCACCATAGCTCATCTTTCGTCTCGTCTGCAGTCCCATTCGCTACCATTTCTCCAACGCGACCTTATCGTCCTTATCTGCTTAACGTTCACTCGGCGTCCACGAGGAAAGCCGACGCGTTACTGCCTATGTAGGCTTGTCTGAACTGGTGAGGGTTATTAGCAAGTCAAATGCATAAAACGGTGATAGGTAATTTTATACGTAGGTATAGTCGGGCGGGAAGGTTTAAACGTGAGCATTCACGTTGCGAGACATGCACTACTTTAAATTAAGTACATAGATTGATCGTAAGATATAATTTGCTATCAGCCGCAATATTATATCGATAAAAATAGATAGCTTCATTTGATAAAGAGATCTGAAATCTTGAAGGCCTACAGTTTTGAAAAGAAATTCTAATCTAAGGTTTTGAAACTATTCCTTTCTACTCCTTCCTTCGAGAAACAATTTTTTTCTAAGGCATATTTTTTATGTGTGTTGTGTAATCAAAGAAAATCAGATTATACATAAGATACCTATAAGAATTTATGATCTTTCATTAGAAAGAACTTTTATGTTTCGTTAATTATAAACATGTCATAATTTTGTATTGCAATCATTTTATTTGTATTCGATTCTATGCCATGGAGCAGAAAATTTTCTCACAAATATTGAATAATACACGTATTTGTTATTTAAATAAATTCAAACAGGAATATTTTGAAACATTTATTTGTAAAATTGATATACAGAGGGTATAATATTAATGTTTATGAAACTTTTAACTTTTTATTTGTCGTTACAATCTGCCAATAATTCACAAATTAAATTGTTATTTAAATAGATTGTATTATTATTGCTTATACAGAGTTTTATTGCAACAATATTGTACAATAAGTGAATGAATTAGTGTTTTTTACATTTTTTGTGAAATTCGTGCAACTGAATAATTTTATATCAATTCATATTAATATATACCATTTCATCTTTATTAAGATTGATAAAAGTGATGAGCTGTCGTTCCATTTTGCAATAATATTTGTTTTCCATTTTTGAAACAAGAAATTTTAGTATTTTATCAGTAAAATTCTATATATATGAGTTATAAACGCCATTGCGCGATATTACTTTTTTTAATATTTGACATTCTTGATACCCAGATCAAATCGTTTCCAAGAAAAAAATCTGTGGCGACGATGTTCGTTTCTTTCCACCATTCCTCTTGAAACTTGACAGTGAGATTTCGATTAACGGAATCAGCCATCTGCCGAAGCCCACCAGACAGATTAAAGAAAATATCTAATGGAAATGGCGTTAATTCTGCCATTACTGCCCATAATGGATTCTGACTATTTCTGCGTTTTTTTGATCCTAAAATCTCTTCATCCAAATATTCGAACAAACCTTCCACAGTTTGCTGATTGCCCCATACTTGCGTCAAAGGCGGCCACAGCCAGTCGTATTCTAAATTAAAAAGGATTAAGTCGAAATTGTTATAAACGTTTATTAGCTGAAAAGTTTCAAAGAATTTTAATTAATTAAATTTGAAAATCGTAAATTAATAGAAATTATAACAAAAATATTTTACCGTTTACTGTGTGCTTGTCACCATAACAAATGATTAATCTTTTTCCGCCAGCCCAAATGTCATTTAATGTCGGTCCCAGACCTTCAATCCCTCTGTCTGGTTTCAGGATTAAACCTTCGAATTCTCGATGTAAAATAGATTGCAGTTTCCGATGTCTGTTTGGCCTACCTTCGAAGCCCACGGGAAATCTATTTGTCAATTCTTACATTAATTATTACAAATTTTGAGTATTTTATGAAGCATAATTATTAATAACGTTTATACGGCAAGTATAGCTGGATATAGCATACAAAAAATAAACAGTAAAAAATAAAAGCATAAAAACAGAGGAACGTTTTCTACTTTTTTAACATATTAATAAATATGAATATAAGCAGCTAATTAAGATTATTAATAATTATTAATAATTTAATTATTTTATACAACGTGTCCTATTTTTAATTATATACACTAAAATAACATAAAAATAACTACATTTGCAAGAAAATATTTGAGATAAAATTTGCGTGATCTGAAGGAGGACAAATAATAATAGAATTAATTTTCAAAAAAATAAATTTTTCGAAACCATATATAAATCATTGTCATTTTTTAAAATAAAATTGTATGATTATTGTTATTATATAATTGTATTAAAAATTATCTTTATACTATGACCTTAAAAAACGATTTTTTGAAAATTGATTTATTTATTCCTCTTCTGGCTATGTACTTTTTATCTCAAACCTTTTTTTGTAAATGTAGCTGTTTTTATGTTATTCCAGTGTATCAATCAAAATAGACATACTGTATATTTTAGTTTTCGCAATTTACTCGTAATTTCTTTGATGACCATTTATTTGAATTTTACGATCATTAACACGAATTCAATTTACTACGTATGCATGTTTTCGCGCGTGAATTTAAACTATACAACGATTTATTTCGTGTTAAGCTTGGAACATAATTGAAAAGTACAGGCAATAGAGAAACAGAAAATAACAGATTTCCATCTAAAATATCGTGTATTCTGATATACGGTTTCTGATAGGTTGAAATTTATTATTCCCTGTTCCTATTGCCTCTGTTTTTCAATTGTGCATTAGACTTTACTCACCTATGAAAATCCATAATGATAACTTCACCTCTCGCTACATCCAGAAAATCCCTCACATCCTTTAAAATCTCTGAAAGAGGTGTGATGCGGATGACGTCATGATTGACCCAAAATCTATTTATATGATTCCCGTCTTCGTCAAGTGCGGTGCCATTTGGTATTGATGGGTAATATCCAACTCTGATGTCCAGATACCTTATACCATGCACCAACTGAGTCCAAACATCACGATCTTGTGTCAACAAGTATCGCTGAAAGGCGTCCCGACGCGTTAGATCACCATGTTTGTAACAACCAGAATTATGTGTCCCAGGTATCATCAGGCTGCCGATAGGAAGCATGCCGATTTCCCTTCTTTAACAATACAGCAAACATTATTTGTGTATTAATAGCTGTTAATTTCTACAAAGAATTATGTGTGATTATTACACGGAAAAAAATGTTTGGTTGAATTAACTGGAATTCTGGAAAATGAACGATCCAGAATTTTTGTTAAATCTACTAGATTTCGGATTAAGTCTACTAAATGTTAGTTATTTCAATTAGAATTTTAATAGATTTAACCAGAAATCTCTGTAAATTTAATTAGAATTTTGGATCGTTCATTTTCCACCAGAATTCTAATTAATTCAACAAAACTTTTCTGTGTACGGCCCGTCAAATTTATAATAATAATAAATAATTACTACAAATATATTGTATCTTATCGCAAATATATTATATCTTATCGCAAGTATATCGTATCTTATCAGTAACAAACTGTAATTTAATTACAGTTTATTATTGATACAATCTAATGAAACTAATTTAATTACAGTAATTTTTATCCAATTAAAATTAAAGATACATTATCTGAAAGTAATTACTTTAATTAAGTTCTGTATAAGAACATATCAACTTTTATTGTTTGATTTAGTCTTTCCGTATAAATGTTTTAAAATATTTAAACAGTGTTTCCGGATATTATTTAAAAATTATTTTAAAAACAAATGATTTTTTAAACAAAAAGTGATATTTCAATTCAAAACTTTGGAAGTACAAAATTCTAGTACCTTAAATCGTACATCCAAGTCGGCCAAATTTGCAAGCAAGACATGGAAAACGTATGACCATCTTTGTAAAGAATAGCATAATAATCGAGACAATGTGATCCTGGAAGTGTCGCTCCATCCTTCGTGTCCCATCCTCCTGGTAACGTCGGACGACCGACTGTAATATTTGTTCTGTAGTATCCCCGAGGACGTTGTAACGAAGTCAGGATCAGTTCAGGCTTAATCATTTTATCTGAAACAAATAGGATTCGTGGTTGCGTAAACAAATTTTTTGGTATCTAAAGTTCAATAGCTTTACGGTGAGAAAATATGATAAGGGATGGATGCGTTCGATTTCACGATGATTCATTCTGTAAGATAAATCGGATTGGAAACGATTCAAAACTATCGAGAGATTCATTCCGAGCGGATCAATGTTTTCAAATTGAATGCGATAGGCGGAAGAGAGACTTAGCCAACAAGTTTTAACGACGAACTCAAAGCGTTTCAACGCGCTTAAGCTGGTGATCTGTACTAAGCTATCAATGAAATTCGAAAGCAAAACAAACTTATATATTTATCAACTTTGCTGATAAATTTTAATGAAATAGGACCGATGAGAATAAATTTAATTAAGTGAGAGAAATTCTATTTTCGGTCAAAGCGGATCTTGGTGTACTTATTATAACATTTCGATGTGAATTTATATCCATATTCAGTTCCGCAAACCGAAATGTTTTAAATCTTGAAATGCAATCATAAACAGAATTAGAATATAGTAATATCACATATTAAATTGACAAGTAATTTAATAATTGATACTAATAGCATTTTGTAAGAATCAAAATGACTGAAAATAGGATTTTTTTTATACTAAGATTCTTACTTAGATTTGTTAATAAAATTTCTCACATAAAACTAAATAAGAATTTTGAATAAAACGAGTTTATAATGCAATGATTACAAGCTGTCATGCATATGTCTTGTGTTTTGTAATAAATTATAAAGATAAACATTACACTTTTGATATAATATTTAATACAATAGTTAACTTATAAATATTATAAAATAAAAGGTACGTGTTTTTCGATTCTATAATCGTCCCCTTTGGTAGCGAAATACGATACATAAGAGAATCAAACAAAATTTATTACTATGTGCCGCTAACGGGTCAGCAGTGAACACCTTGATTTGAGTATCTGAATATCTCGTGTCCGCCGGACAATCGAATTCCCAATTTACTTCTAATTCGGCATCGACCACCTTATCGCTGGCAACGATTGGTCTCCACAAAGAGGAAACCGTGACCCATACTTTTCCGCACTGCCCTGCCAATGCTGAAAGTAAAATTAAGAAAATAAATTGAGAAATATAAGATGAGAGAGAAGCAAATTATATTTCAAATTTTTATAAAAAAGTTAGAAGAAATAACACTAGTTTGCTAATTTACATTTACGTTGTCTGAACAAACTTTATATATATATAATAACGTGAGATGTTAAAAATGACGATTTTGAGAATTTTCGTAATGTTGTAACAGTGACAGTAAATTTTTC